TTAACTAAGCTACCCAGGTGCCCCAGTACGGCCTTACTTTAAAAAAAAAAAAAAAAAAGTTTATTTATTTTTGAGAGAGAGAGCATGGGGGAGGGGCAGAGAGAGAGACTCCCAAGCAGGCTCCATGGTGTCAGTGCAGAGCACGATGGTGGGCTCCATCTCACGAACTGTGAGATCATGACCTGAGCTGAGATCGGGTGTTAACCAACTGAGCCACCCTGGCGGCCCTGGGCTCACTTTTATGTAGAATCTTAACAACATAAAACACTGAACTCATATATAGAGAGAGAACAGATGGGTGGGGGTGGGGGGTGGCTAAAATGGGTGAAGGTAGTCAAAAGGTACAAACTTTTAGTTAAGAAAATAAAGAAGTCATGGGATGTAATATACACCTCGTTGCTACACTTGATAATAATGCTGTAATGCATACTTAAAAGTTGCTAAGATAAGAGAGTACATCTTAAAGTTCTCATCACAAGGGGCGCCTGGGTGGCGCAGTCGGTTAAGCGTCCGACTTCAGCCGGGTCACGATCTCGCGGTCCGTGAGTTCGAGCCCCGCGTCGGGCTCTGGGCTGATGGCTCAGAGCCTGGAGCCTGTTTCCGATTCTGTGTCTCCCTCTCTCTCTGCCCCTCGCCCGTTCATGCTCTGTCTCTCTCTGTCCCAAAAATAAATAAACGTTGAAAAAAAAAATACTAATTTCCCTCAAACATGCACTGTAAGTATGTGCATTCAAAAACTGTAATATAGATCATTTTTCCTGTTTTTTAAAAATAATTTCAATTTTTCTACAAAGAACTTGTTGTGCTTCTATAAGACAAAATTTTAAATCATAGGGTCATCATGGAAGGTGATTACATGATCTATAGGTGACAAAATCATGCATACTTCCCAGTTTTATTCTCTTGATTCATTCCTCCCAATTACGAAGCACTTCTCCTACATTCACTCTTCTAGATGGTAGATATATAGCAACAAACAAATCTTCATGTCAGGAATCATTCAAACCCCACACAATCCCTGAGGACAACATTTCTCTTCTCTAGTATGTAATATATCCTGAGGGTCTGGCAATCTGCTAGGCTCTGCACTTGGGAGTGGACATCCAAAAGTTTATTAGACCAAGGGAGGTTGACCTCAAAAAACTGTTTAAAACAGGCCCCACGATTCTTTTTTTTTTTTTTTTTAATGTTTATTTCTTTTTGAGAGAGAGAGGGACAGAGCATGCATGAGCAGGGGAGGGACAAAAAGAGAGGGAGCCACAGAATCCAAAAAAAGCAGGCTCCAGGCTCTGAGCTGTCAGCACAGAGCCTGACACGGGACTTGAACTCATGAACTGAACCATGAGATCATGACCTGAACCGAAGTCGGACGCTCACCCCAGTGAGCCACCCAGGTGCCCCAAGGCCCAAGGATTCCTAAGAATCAAACCAAAATTTCTGTTCTCACATGTACCCTCTCAGACGAATCAGACTGATCACAAATAAGCATAAATCCTGAAAATGAGGGAAACGGAAATTCATCACAGATCTACTGATGAAGACAATCAGCATGCTCTCGCCAATTTCAGAAACCTCCCCAAACACCTCACTAGCACAAGAACCAGCCACCACTCTCCTACTCCTCCTCTTTACAATTCATGGGAGTGTTTACTATGAATCAGGCACTTTTCTGGGTGTTTTACTAATGGAGTCTTCACAATAACCCTATGAGATCATCATTTTATAAATAAGGACACCAAAGCACGGAGACAAGATTAACATAAAGGGATAATTTTGGATGAACCAGTGCTAGGCAAGCTTGCAAAGCAAGCGCACTTTGTCTTTGGCCTTATACTGGCTCCATGTCTGTTTCAGTTCGACAGACTGTGAGGACCTCGGAGCAGGGACTGTGCGTCTAGAACCGTACCTAGCACTCCAAGCGATATGCTTCTTTCCTTTCTCTTTGGTTTCTTTCTCTCCAAACATCCCAGAAAGAGGAGGCTTCTTTTGTCTCATCATTTTTCTAAATTTGCTGTTAAATAATTCTTGCTAAGGCATTACCCCAAACGAATTATGTTTATTAGATATACCCTGTATCTATATTCTCCAGTCCAGTGTCTCTGTCTCCAGTTTCCTCATCACCCCCTAGGCGTGCTGCATTTCACAACAGACCTGCTTCCTCTTCAATAGCTGGTGACCATATTTCAGGTGTCTAACGTGAGCCACTATGTTAAAAAAAGTACCAGGTACTAACAGGACTCCCTCACTTAGTTGAGGACTCCCTGCCTCAACTAAGAAGTGTCCCCTGACCTATTTAAAACAGCAGTATACCATTCTCTAGCCTCTGACACTGCTTTATTTTTGTCATCCCACTTATCAGTATCCCCTATGATATTTACTAATTATTTTCTATGTTCTATCTCCCCTTCTAATTTGTAAACCGCATGACAGCAGGGACTTGATCTGGATTACTGTTGTCATGCCACACCTACAACAGGGGTGGGCACAGAGCAGGCTCTCAGATATTTGCTCGATCGACTACAAATCAGAGGTTCTTTTTTAATATTCAGGGAAGGTAAATCTCCCTTTAAAAAAATACTGCCACAGGATGCCTGGGTGGCTGTCAGTTGAGTTGGCTGAGCAGCCAACAGGCTCAGGTCATGATGTCACGGCTCATGAGTTCCAGCCCTGCATTGGGCTCACGGCCTGCTTCAGATCCTCTGTCTCTCCCTGTCTCTGTCCCTCCCCTGCTTGTGCTCGCTTTCTCTCAAAAATAAACATTAAAAAAAATACTTTATAAAAAAAATACTGCCACAACTTAATGAGACTGAAGACAAAGGGGCAGAAAAGAGAACAAAAACAAATCTTGAAACATTAATTTGCTGGAAGAAACAAAATCTTGGGTTTTCTCTCTCACTTTAGGCTTAAGGTATAAGAGCTGAAATGTAAAAATGTTCAAATGTTTTAGTTTGAGCATGGTGGTAACACAATGGGAAAAGGAGCCGCAGGAAATTTTAGCAATCGATAGGCTTCTACTGTCTTTAGTTTTGAAAAGTAAATTAGGAGTCCTTCAGGTTTCATTTAGATTAAAATGCCTAATTTACCATCTAACCAGAGGCACAATATCCATCTAAAGTCAAAGTTAATTTATATAACTAGTACTGATTTCTTCACCTACAGCCTGCTCCTTTTCATGGCCTACATCCTAGTTTCCTAATCTAGCTTAGTCAAACTTCACAGCAGATAAGCGCATCATCCAAACACTACGGGGATAGGAAAAACTTCACTAAACTAAGAAATTGCCAGGCTGGCCTACTAAGTTTAAAGCTTGACGGGGTGCCTGGGTGGCCCAGTCAGTTAAGTGTGGGACTCTTGATTTCGGCTCAGGTCATGATCTCAGAGTTCGTGGGTTTGAGCCCTGGGTGATGATGGCATGGAGTCTGCTGGAGATTTGTTCTCTCTCTCTCTCTCTAGATCTCTGCCTCTCCCCTGCTCGCATGCTCTATCGCTCTCAAAATAAATAAATAAACTTAAAAAAAAAAGGCTTGAAAGCCGACTTTTTGCTTGTTTCTTGCACCCCAAAAGACTACTAAGGTCATAAATATCCTAAGAATGCTCTGCAAGTAAATTCTAGTCGTGCTCCCTCATCATACAAAAAAGGAAAGAAACTTGTATAACACAAACCTAACAGACGTTACAAAGTATTTTATATCTATCGCACCCTTTCCTTAGATCAGTTTAAAAACCCTAAACCAACCAACCAACCAAAAAACCCCAACCTATTAACAGGTAAAATGCCCTATAACAACTTTATTTTCCTTAAATAATTTAAACAGTATTTTAATTCTATTCAGGTCACACAAACAGCTTCTTCAAAGAGCTTGTGGTTCGCCTAATAGGAAAAGATTCTAAGAGACTGTTACCAGAATAAAGAACCCCAATTCCAACAACGAGATTGCTTTGAGGATTGCCCAATTAGTTTCTATGCTTTCTACTAAAAAGTTAAGGCACAGACCCGTCTCAGAATTGCAAATACTCAATTCTAATTCTTTAAACTTTTGGATAAGAAAACAGCTGTTTTGGGGAGAAGTGGTAAGGAAAAAACTCCCCAAGTAGTTAGAACACAAGACAACTATTACCTCAGTTTAAAAACAGCCTTCTAGGTTTCTTTCTATGTCCTAAGGCAAGCCCTTAAAAAAGAAGACAAGATAAAAAAGGAAACCCATTAACAAAAAAAAAGCCCACTGGGTCCCAACTATGGACAAAGCACTCGATTGGGCTGTGAAATGGTCAAGATTTCACTCCCCTGGGACAGTAAGCTTTAGAACAAGTGGATATGATCGCTAGAGAATTTTCTATGTTCACGTATACTTCATTAGGAGGCTTTGCGAGCCAAACTCACAGAAACAATTCCTCTCGTATCCATGCCCTATTTCACGTCCAGATTTGTTTCACCGACTTGCATCATAGTTTTCAAAGAAAACAAAAAGGAGTATATACTCTTAAGGCCAAGTTCCCGTGAAAAGCAAGACCCAGCCTTTTCAGACACGCACAGGCATCGCCCATGACACTAAGACCTCCAAGTCTAGACCGAGTTAAGTCCAACAGCTTGGGGAGGGAGCAGGCAGCCTGGCACCCGAGCCCGGGCGCACGCAGCCGCCCCCTGCGGCTGAAGGACACAAGGTTTTGCTCCCAGGGCCAGCGGGCAGGAGGCGGACAACTCCGACCAGGCCTGGGGGACAGACGAAGGACTCGCGGTGGCGGTGCCCATAAAGGAAAGCGGGAGGTGAGAAGCGGCGGGGACACGCACCGAGAAACGCGCCCTCAAGTTTGCCCGATTCAACGCCCCGAGGATGAAAAGAGCCATTTGTCTCGTGTGGGGACGGTCGCGTTCGGCCCGTCCCCCCCTGCGGGACTCCGGGCGGGGCTCCGCGGGGGCCGCCGCGGGGGGGGGGGGGGGGGCTCGGGGTCGGCCTCCCGCCCCTCGCGGCCTCTCGGCCCGCCGGGCCCCAGGACCTCACCTGCGGGGCCGGCCCCGGAGGCGCGCGCGGGCGGCGGGGAGCGCAGCCGCAGCCAGAGGTGCAGCGCGGCCCCGAGCACACACGGGCACAGCAGCACCAGCCAGTTTCGCATTGGCCGCCCCCGCCGGCTCCACCTCGCGCCCCCGCCGCGCGCCGGGCTCTCCCGCGTCCCGGCGGAGAGGGAGGGGACCGGCGAAGAGAAAGGCCGAGGGGCGGCGGCCGACGCACGCGCGACCACTCTGGGCACGCCTGCCCTCGCGCCCGCCGCCGTCCAGACTCCTGGCGGCTCCGGCCCCGCGCCTCAGGTTCCTCCAACCGCGGGCGGCGCCGGCTCAGCCGGCCAGGCCCCGCCCCCTCCTCTTGGCCTACCCCCCCCGGGCCCGCCCACCTTTCGTCTCACTCGCCCCGCCCCCTTCCCACGTCCCCTCCCGCGCCTGCAGGCCAGTCGGGAGCTGAAGTCCCGCTCTGGGCCCAGGCAGGGGGCGCACCCCAGTGATCCAGAGGCTCGGAAACCACATTTCCCATAACCGCGTGCACTTGCTTCCGTCACTCGGCGGTCACGGAGGCGAAGCGCGAAGCCCCACAGGGAGCATGCGCATCCCTTCTCAACGCCTACTGCCCCCCGACGGCCGAGGGGAGGCGGTGCCGGTCGCCCCTGTGCTCAGAGGCTGACTGACAGCACCGGCCGAAGGAAACAGCTGCCGAGGCAAAGGCTCCCGGCTGCCTCGGATTTAAAGATCTGCGTGACGCTAGGTTTAGATCACGCGGAGCTCCACTGTGCGAATGCTGACCTTCCCTGGGAGTTGGTATCCTGCCCGAGAGCAGGCCGAGGCAGTCCGAGGCGTGTGTCTTCAGCGGTGAATCATCCATCAAGTGCTAGTGCTGGTGCGCTGTGTACCCGGCTCCTTGCCCGGCCCTGTCCTCCGGGAGCTCTGGTTGGGGCCGCAGCCCGGGGTCCAGCTGTGGGGCAGGACAGCTACGGTCCAGTAGGAGGTGAAATTCCACGTGCTCCCGATTCAGACGGGGGAGTGGGGCAAGGCGGCCCCTCCCCCAGGACGGAGCCGTGGCGCGGGCCGCGCGGGTCCCGTGGGAAGGATCCGAGCAGCCCTCCTCGGAGACCGGGCCCTGCCCGGCGTCGTGCAGCGCGGCCCCGGGGGCAGGAACCCCCGAGCCCGCGCTGGGACAGACACGCGAGGGCTCTCGGTTGAGGCGCGAGGCAGTCGGGGCGCACGTGCTACAACGGGGAGGGAAGGATGAAAAGGAACACCTGGGGTTGGGTTTTTTTTTTTTTACGTTTCGTTTTTGGTTTTTCCTTTTTTTCTTTTTCTTTCTTTCTTTCTTTTTTTTTTTTTTTTCAATTCCCACAAGTTGTGGCACCAGAAGGTAACTATGCTGTCGAGTAAAGTCTTGGTCGAAAGCGATAGAAAATCCATTTCAAACACGCTTAAGGGGGAAAAAAAGCTAATTTATTCAAGTAACTCAGGAGGAGTCTTATTGAGTGGCAATGTAATCTCAGCAAAACCACCTTCTATTAAAATCACATTTTTTAAAAAGTAGTCTCCACACCCAAAGTGGGGCTTGAACTCAAGACCCTGAGATTAAGAGTCACACGCTCTACCAACTGAGCCAGCCAGGCGCCCCTAAAATTACTTTGTATTTAAATGTTTTGTAATGTTGTTTGTATTTAATTTTAAAATCTGTTTTGATTTAATAGTTGTATAAAATATGTACATCTGTACTTAATAAAAACAATTTAATGAATGTGGGGTGTGAAATATCTTTTTCCCTTTAAAGGGATTTGTATATTTTTTAGCTAACCTGTTGCTACCTAACAAATTATTCCAAAACTTTTGTTTTAAAATGTTTATTTATTTTGAGAGAGTGCATGCAAGCAGGGGAGGGCCAGAGAGAGAGGGGGAGAGAGAGAATCCCAAGCAGGCTCCAGGCAGAACCAGACAGGGCTTGATCCCACAATGGGTGAGATTAGGACCTGAGCTGAAACCAAGAGTTGAACACTTAACCAACTGAGCCACCCAGGCACCCCACTCCAACACTTTAAGACATCAATAAGTATTTATTATGTCTTAACAATTTCTGTGAGTCAGGAACTTGGGGGCTAGGTTCTGGTTCAGGGTCTCCCGTAAAGTTGCTGGGGCTGTGGTCATCTGAAGGCTTGACTGGTGCTGGAGAATCGGCTTCCCAGGTGGTTCACTTCCATGGTTAGCAAAGTGGTTCTGCCTTTTGGCCTAAGTTCCTCTCTGAGTGGGTTTCTCCCACAAGATGCTTTAATGTCCCCCACACCATAGTGGCTTGCTTCCCCAAGAGCTGGAGATCCAAGAGACCAGCACAGATGCAGTGATGCCTTTTATGAAGGATCCCTGCAAGACACACACTGGCACTCCTGCAGTGTTCTATTGGTTACAAAGATAACTGTGCTTCACTATGGGAGGGACCACACAAAGATGTGAGTACCAGGAAGCAAGGATCATTGTGGGGTCATGTTAGAGGTTGGCTACCACAGTGTATTATGCAAATCAGAGAAACAGTACTGTCTCTAAACAGTGTGGGGAGTCTTTAGGGGTCCCTACTACTCACCATGACCCCAGAATACTCCTAGGACAAGAAAGAACGATATTTTCTTCTTGTGGAAAACAGAATTAGCAGGCTGTGATCTTGGTGGTTCTTGGGCAAATGTCCCCAAATTCTGTGTGCCCCTTTCCCAGAATGTTTACATGTAGCAATAAGGAAGGAGGGTGTGTAATGTGTAAATTTCTTGTTAGAAATTCTTTTAGAAACTATGCCTACCTACTCCCTACATTTTTTTAAAGATTTTATTTTTAAGTAATGTCTACACCCAATGTGGAGCTTGAGTTTATAACACCAAGATCAAGAGTCACGTGCTCCACTGACTAGACCAGCCAGGTGCCCCTGCTCTCTACATTTTACTGAAAGAAATTGTTAAAGTAATAATTGGTTGTTACTAGGGGTGTCCAGCTTTTCATCTTTAAGAAGGGTAGTAGAAGGGGCACACTGATTCACATAAAATGCCACCCTGTAGGCAGAATCCCCAACTTCTGGGGTGGTAAATGGCTGGCAGCGTTCAGGGCACACGGGTGGGGTCGCTGCAGTACCAGCCGCAGCCCCACGGATTGACCTCTTGTGCTCTGCCAGCAGGTGCCCTGCCTCTGGGTACCTGGGGGAAAGGTGCGAGGGGCCCCAGGGCAGCAAATTTTTAAAAAGAAAGAAAGATGGGGCACTTGGGTGGCTCAGCCTTTTAAGCATCCGACTTTGGCTCAGGTCATGATCTCACAGCTCATGAGTTCAAGCCCCATGTTGGGCTTTGTGCTGACAGTTCAGAGCCTGGAGCCTGGTTCAGATTCTGTGTCTCCCTCTCTCTCTGCCCCTTCCCTGCTCACACACTCTCTCTCTCTCTCTCTCTCTCTCTCTCTCTCAAAAATAAATAAACATTAAACAATAATAATGAAAGAAAGAAAAAAAGGGTAGTAAAAGGCCTCTGCTGATATCCTAACATTTTCATTTTGTGGTTAGAGAATTATAATGAGTTAACCCCCTAATTTAAGCAGATCTATTTATTCAACAAATCTTTAACTGAGCATCTATTATGTGCCAGGCACTTTGGTAGGTACTTTGTTAAATCGATGAACAAAACAAAGATCCCTATCCGGTGATGGCGTGGAGCCAACTGTAAACTATAGCTCTAATAAAGGAATACATTTAGCAGCATGTAGATGATGGTAAGTGTTAACAGAAAATAGGAGAAGTGGAGCAGGGTAGGGAAGGTGGGAATGAAGCACTGAAATGGGACAGATTGCAATCTTAAACAGTATTTAAACAACTGTCCAAAGCTACAATGTGCGCTAAAGGGAGGGATAAATAAAACCATCCTAACACACGGCACTAATTCAGGTGCTGTTCCTTCAGTTACCAAAATGCTTTGACCTACAGGGGGAATCTCACTGACAAGCCTATAACAGCGTTTTGAGTAACTTTTTAGCACCTTCCCATCTCACCACAGTGAGAGCTGTTCTATCACCTGTTCCATAGGCCCAGTGACCCTTCCACTTGCTTGGTGTCTACTATCCCCTAATAAACTCAAGACTAAGGTGGGTAAAAATCATAAGAGAGACAATGTGCAGAATGGAAAGAATAAAATTTAAAAAAAAAAGATGATGTAAAGGGCCTGTTAAGTCAAGGTACTCCTAGTTTAAGATGTGAAGGGGTAAGCAGAGAATTAGGATTAGGGTAGGGCAGACCAGGATTGTTGGTCACCCAGCTTGCATTTCCGTGTAACCAGAGAAAGGAATCACAGAGTCGTGGCCGCACAAAGCAGGAGGTATCTGACCAAGCCCAAGGCGTCCCAGGGAAGGTCATCCTTTGAAAACACAGGGCTGGAACTTGAAATCAAACAGGCCTATTAGGAAGGCCAGAGGGCAAGAATGGCATTTGAGAACACCTAGGCAAAAATAAGTTAAGTAATTAAAACAAACACTCCCCAGATAGTGATGACATCATGATTAGGAAAATGCGAGCAATGTGGCATGACCCTAAGAGAGTTAGGACTGGGAAATGGGGAGAAGGCGATCAGAAAACAGGCCAGATCATCATGTGCTATGCTAAGGAATTTGGATTTTATCTGGAAAACTCTAGGGATGAATTTTTTTTTTTTTTCTGACTACAAAAGTAATACATGATGATAAAAAGGAATTTGGAAAGTATAGAAAAATATAAAGAAGAAACGAAATCATACCACATAAAAACTATATACTTTCTTTTTGGCATTTTCATTAAAAAATTTTGCAAACATACTACAAATAGGAGTTTACATCCATTTATTTCACCTAACATATAAGCATTTCACATTTACTTAGCAGTCTTAGAAAATATCTTTTAATCATTTAATCATTTGTTCATATTATAATTGCTAACCTGGTCCCCTATTATTGGACATATGGGTTGTTTTCCATTTTTCCAGTATAACAAATATTATTAGCACTTCTACGCCTAAAACTTCACCCACATTTCAGATGACGTCTTTTTAAGATATTATTTTAAGGCTCCTTGTTCCTCCTGGCACTGTGTCAATGTGTACGTTTGCCTCTAACAAGTAGGTTTCTGTCCCATCCCACATAACCTAGCATTTAAAAAAAAGTCTTTCCTGGGACTCCTGGGTGGCTCAGTCAGTTCCGTGTCTGACTTCGGCTCAGGTCATGATCTCGCGGATCATGGGTTCGATCCCCACATCGGACTCTGCGGACAGCTCAGAGCCTAGAGCCTGCTTCGGATTCTGTGTCTCCCTCT